CCAGGGATTGAGGACTGGAAGGACCAATGCTTTGTACCATCCCGGTGTCCACAGAGATAAGAGGGGGAGTTTCTGAAACCACAGGAGAGCACCACTGTCTATCTTGTAAGGACACAGCCTCTGGAGAGGCCCCCCAAAAGGGGCTGTGTTTCTCTTTGCTCCTTCCTCCAGTCTCTTATCAGGGATTCCCAACCGTCAACCCTAGTGAGAAGCCGGGGCTCATGGGATCCACCTGCTGTGGTTCCTGTGAATCAGCTTCCAGGTCAGCGAGCAGGAGGAGAAAATGGAAAGATAGAGAGTGGCCAAGGGACCTGGCAGAGAATGACTCTGTTCACTGTCTTCCTCTACTATCTATTTCCAGGAAGTCAGAACTCCTTAGGAGCAGGCCAGTTACTAAGTATCAGAATCGACACCTATAACCATGAGGGGACAAAACAAACAGGGATGTGTTTAAAAGCCCAAGTCAGTAACTGGCTGGAGATGTATAGTGCAAGGAAAAAATGTGAATTGATCTAGTTAAATTCTGAATATGTCTGTGAGTGGGCCAGGGCTTCAGGGGCTTCTGAGCATATGTGTCCTGTGCTATGTGATACTGGTTGCTGCTGCCCATCACTTGACAGGTGGACCTCGCTTGGTGGGAACCAAGCCTGAAGGTACACACCCTTTCATCTTCAAGGCTGTGACTGCTCTTGGCAAGGTCAGTTCTTATCATCAGGTCCGTCTTTCCCTGTAGTTTCAGACCACACAACTTTTCTGGAGCCTGGAGCTGCGGCCCATGGTTGAGCCTGATGTGCCTTTTTCTGTTGCCCACAATAGCACCTATAGCTTCCTAAACCATTCCCTCAAAGGGTTGCATCTTTTCACAGGAAGGTGCCCTTGGGATCGACTGTACACCTTTCTCTCATTAGTCTGCCTAAATTAAGACTCTTGCATACAAGCATGCTTTCAGAACTATATTAACTTGGGTAGCTTACTGGATCACAGGTGGTCTTATTCTCTTCTACCTTCTTTTCTAAAAAAATAATTAATGTTAAGTCGACAAGTAAAATATATGTTTATGAGTAGCTTGTGAATGGCTAAACCAAGCTAATTGGCATATGCATTACCTGACCTAATTCTCATTTATTTGCAGTGAGGATGCTTAAAATCTTCTCTTTTATTCCCTTTCACCTTCTGCCCCATATTCCCAACTTAGGTGCTTCCTCTGTTCAACTTGCTCAGTTTGCCCATTTTCCCTTCCAATCTTAGTTTGTCATTCTTGCTAAGGAATCTTAAAGGCCAAACATCATCCCAGTAATATAAACAGGTTGCTGTAGGGATAGAGGCTGTGTTTACTGAGAACAATACTGTGTGGTGTTATTCCCTGTGACTGTGTTTTGAATTCTATTCTTTCAACATGATGTGTTCATAAAAGTGTGGGTGATGAAAGTGGATAGATCCAAGCTCACATTGCCACAGGTAGAATTTTCTTAGCTGTAGTAGCATCGTTTGCTCACTCACTCATTGACTTATTCACTTATTTCAGAAGCATTTATGGAGTACCTCTGGGGTACCAAGCACTTATGTAGGCTCTGGCAAATTGGAGATATACAAAGATGCTCGTACCCTTGTCTTCTTGGAACACATCCTTTGTAAGAAGGTGAGAACAATGTCTGCTTTGGAGTGTGGGCTGTTAGGATAAGATGAGATATGTAGAGCAACCAATACAGAATTTGGCACATAGTAGTTGCTTAATAAATATTATTTGTCATTCTTTCCCATAGTAAATATGATATTAGATACATTTTAAAGACTTTTGTGAAATATCATCTGTAGGAAAAATATTTTTGAAAAGCATTTTCATGCATCATTAAAGTCTTAAAATTGGTATTTTTTTTTTCTTTTTGGCTTTTAAGTTGTAAAAGAAAAAACTTTTTTTTAAAGGGTAGAACATGGAACAGTGATTCCACACACATAAAGTCGCCTTTGTTTTTTCTGCCACATAAATAGCTCCAGTTAGAAATGATGGCAGTTCTCATTTTCTCTAAACCGTCAGCTTCTTTGAGCTAGCTGTGTTGGTTGTAGAGGTCTGCTTCATATAGATAACTTATCTTAAAAAAATGTAAATAATCTTTAACTTCTTTCACTGCTAATAGTTTTATATCCTCTAATAAATCTATGACACTTTATCTGGCCCAGAGCTTCTATAAATTCACATATTAGATAGCTGAGCCATATGATGTGAATTTTTAAGGCTGTCCCACTGGCTTCATGAATTTAATTCTGTAATTGTTGAAATTAATGTAGTCTGACAATGTCATGATTTTCCCATATTTTTTCTGCCTCAAGGTTGATGCATCCTGTTTGGGGTGAATGTGTGGTTACTGAAACCATAACAGTCCACTACAACTACAAAACAGTAATTTCATGAAGAAATTAAATATCAAAAAAATACTTCCTAAAACGATAATATTGGAGCACGAATGAACATTTGTTTTGTCAACTACTTTGAAAGCTTTTACTGGACTGTTAATGGTATTTGCAGTATAGCCAAAAAAAAAAAAAAATGAGGCCTTTTATCCTTAGGTGGCTCAAATAAACTCAGTAAGAACATATTTAGCAACAGTGTATTATTTGACTGAATTTAATAATTATCAATCAACCAGCTCATACTTTGAGCCACACTGTTGATAATTTATAGAACACATCCGTGGGTGGTAAGTTTTGTCTGTTTGCCTCTCTAGGCACAATTTCTGCCTGTCTCCACCTGCTTTGTCTCCTGGTGTATTAGTCAGCTCGGCTGCTGTAATAAAACAAAACAGACTGAGTGGCTTAAACAATGGAAATGTATTTTCTCACAGTTTGGAGTCTGGAAATGTAAGACCATGGTCTGTCTGGGTTTGGTTTCTGGTAAGGACTCTCTTCCTGCCTTGTAGAGAGGCACCTTCTTGCTGTGACCTCACATGGCCTTTTCTCACATTACATGGGAGAGACAGAAGTGGGGGGTGGCGGGGAGAGAGGGAGAACAAGTGCTAGAGCGAACTCTTCTGGTGTCTCCTCTTGTAAGGACACAGATGCCATATGGTAGCTTCATGCTCATGACCTCATCTAATCCTAACTTCCTTCCAAAGGCCCCCCTCCAGATACTATAACAATGGAGGAAAGGGCTTCACCATGTGAATTTGGGGTGGATACAAGCATTTAAACCATGACACTGGGGAAGCTGACCTTTACCGGCTATTTCAAGGCATTTTTAGCCTCTTGCCAACTATTGAGTTTGGCCGGTGGGGAACATCATCAGGTGATGGAGGGAGGGTGAAAGTGAGTCAGGGTGTCACCAACTGGCTGTGCCCCTTGACTCAAGGTCATAGCTCTCCCCAGGCAGCCCTCTCTGCTTCAGGTCCCAGTAGCCGAGTCTTTCCCTGCAGGCCCTGTGGTGACAGCCGTGCTATGACTGGTCTTAGGACCCTGCACTATCCCTGTGCTTTTTCCAACTTCCCTGTACCCTGCTTTATCTTTGTAAGAAGTTCCTTTATTCAACCTCCCTTACTCAGTTTGAATATACCTTCTATTTCTTCCTGCAATCCTAATAAAGTTCAATTAAGATATTTAGAATTTTTAACATCTTAGATGTTGTACTTTTGGTTGAAGCGAATTGGCAGAAATCTCTAATAAAGAAGAAATTTACCTTTCCTTTGTCCTAAATAGTTCTCCTGCCTACCCTCCACCATAAAACAAACTAACTCCCCACCAAGCCCAACATTTTTATAAATAAAATGGGTACCACTTTGTAGATGAGTAGTTTGTGATATTCTTACCTTTTGATCAGAAAGCAGGTAGGTCATGGAGAGCCTTTTGGGGAAATAATTATCCAGTAGTTATATATATATAGTCTATTGGATCATTATCTAAACCATCCATCAGTGCTTTGTTTTTCATCAGATTGTTGGTCAGGGAAATGCAGAGCTGGTCCTAGAACATTGCTATGTGGTTACACTCCCCTGAAATTGTCACTTACATACTGGTTCCACTACTTAGGGCTTATTCCCACCTGCAGAATTCCAGCTGAAATTCTGATGGTCTTAAGCACCTTAGTGTTCTAGGCACCGAGAACAATGCTTATGGGAGCTTCCAATAAATATTCGTCAAGTGAATGTTACCTGCAATCTGATTACCTGCAGGAGGGTGTAGTAGATAGGACTTGTGGGAGGAAACTCATGGGAATTCTCGAAATAAAGTCCTTTTGGCAAACAGCACACAGTGATATCAGATATGGAGCGGTCAGCAAGGAGTGTCAGGGCTAGTGGCCTTTGGAGTCTAGCAAGCTAAGGCATGGTTCTAAAAATCTGGATCAGAGGGAAGGAGGCTCCTGGAATTCTGGACAGGTGGAGAGTGTATCAGCAGATTGTAAAATGTTAGCAATGTGGAAGATTGTATATGCTGGGTGCTGTGATACGAGCTAAGCCATGTTCCATACCTTAGGTAAGTTGTCACTCCAGCATGGAAAACTGAAAAAATTTTTATTTTCTTCCCCATAAAATGGAAAAAAAAATTCAATCAACTTCAGTTCTAACATTAAATTTTCTTTTAAGATGATATACTGTTATTTTTAAATTTTATAATAGATTTTAGGTGCTTGAACTATATATACTATAGCATGTAGACTTACACATTGTTAAGAGTCTGAAATACAGATAATGAAATTGACAGTATGATTGGGAAAAAATCAAGATTGTGTTTCCATGGGCATCCATAAAACATTAATCACAGTTTTTATTTACAACTTTATAAGACAATCTAGAGATGCTGAAGTCACTATGGTTCCCCTTCTTGCCATTTTATAATGTAACGGGATAAATTGATTTCCTTTCTTAACGAGGCACAAACCACATCAGGCAAAGTAAAAAAGGCCTTCAAATGGGCTTTAATAATTTCTTGGCCTTCTAATCGCCACAGATGTCTGTGTTGAGAGGTGATGAGCAGCGTTTCTTGTGGTACAACATAAACTTCATTTTCCCTAGGCTGAAGACTAATACCACAGGAAATGAAAGGACACAGGAGAGCTTAGAGAACACTGGAGGCAGAACAGCTAATGCAAGGTGAGTGTCCAGTCAAGGAATTCACAAGATCAGTAAAAGCTGACAGCACCCCCTAACTTTCTACCGTGAAAACAGCTCACTGAAATTATACCAGGTGGATGTTTTATCAGTATCCTGGAGGTTTTCTCTCGTAGAATAATTTCCTTAAAATAGGAGTGTATTATTCAGGCCTAACAACTAGTAATTGCCCCGTGTCTGAGTCAGTAATGCTATAATAAAAATTAACTTATTTACAAAGAATTATTATTATGTGTTTGTGAATTTTAGATGAAGAATTAGTTTAAAATTTGCGACTTCTATCCCACTGATATGTTGTGTTTCTATCGCTTTCCTTTAAAAAATTAACTTTTCATTCATCAGTAATCATGCTTTAACTCACACAGTTTAATGATAGAATTCTTTTTGTGGAGGGGAGATGACTCTTCCTGTAGCTGTGTGTTTATATTTCAGTGGGATTTTGGATATGAACTTGGTAAAAGGAGTTTCTTTAGCATTTTTTGTATCATGAAACTGCAAAATTGAAGGTAGTGTGTATTTTGGTTTATAAATGGAATGAGACCATGTAATGTGATTTTGTATTTGTTCATGATTTATAGGATGTGTTTGTGTGTTAAATAATCTCTCATTATTGTGAGCCACGCTTGTTTTAGGATACTTTGTTTCATGGAAGCCAAACAAAAGAGCTTGTTTTGGGTTTCAGTTTTTGGTATTAGCTTGTCGGTTTTGTAATCCAATCAGGACAAGAAAGGGACAAATCATGAGTGAGGCAGAGATGGACAGGAAGATGAGTCATCCTTATTCTGCAATAGGAAATGTGATAGTGGCCATTTAGTAAGGGCCCTGTTGGTGGGGGTGACCTCACACACACAGGTGTGCTTGTTGGCTTTGATGACTCAGCCCCCCAGGCTTTAGGGGACGGCACAGCTTGTTCCACTGCTCTTTGCAAATGGACCCCAGAGAGGCTCCAACCCCTTCCTGAATCGTGCAGCTAGTTTCAGCTACTGGCAGGGTTGATATACATGGAGCATCTTTCTGCCGATGCCCCAGTCTGGGCCTGAGCCCAAGAACCATCTCTAGTGTTGACATTCATGGATGGAACAGAGCAATCACTTTCAGAACGGCATACCTACACTTTGTGGCGACACAAAAATAAGTCTTTGAATGTTCTATCTGGAATGCATGTGAGGAAAAACCACTTAGTTTCTCATTTTTAAAAAGTTACTCTTTGTGTCTAACTTGAGGGAGCATTGGGAGAATGAATAAGATTGCTTAGAAGTTGCAATAATGTACACATCACAATTTTTGGCAATAACTATATAACTGACCTTGCTAGTTGCTAACATAAAAGGTCAAAATGCTATCATTGGATGTCTAGTTGAGGGACTCCAATCTTTCTCTGAGTCATGAGCAATTTATTTCAGATGGAAACTGGTTCAGATGGAAACTGAATATTCTAGTTGTTTTTCTTCTGATCTCTTTCTTTTCTCAAGTATAAATTAACAATATAGAGGAGCATGTCTCAGCCCAGTAGCAGCAAGCTGTCCATCCTAGCAGCTCACATAACTCCTTTACATGTTACCTGTGGGTTTTCAAGATGTTCTAATTTCTATGTCAGGATATTAGCCTCTGCGGTGCTTTCAGTTATCCTGTGGTTCTTAAGGCTAATGATTGCAAATGAGACCCCAGAGCCCTATCACTGTTAGTACTGCTGGTTCGGACAGGGGAGAGTAAAGTAAAATCTTGAAGCCTGTACAAAACTCTAATTTGATTAATTTGAGATTAACTGTTTAGCACCTTCCTGAAATTAATAAAACAGCCTTGCTTATGTATGCTCACAGTCCTGTGTTCTAAGCAGAATACTTTGTTTCAGTGTGAAAGTATGTAGATTAGAGATGGGCAGTGTTTGGCCCAGGCTGTAGGGCCACCAGATTGTTTCATGATGCCCTGTATCAGTATCTTTCTACAGGATTCTTCTGATAAGAATCTTCCATTCTCTAAAAATGAATGTCTGCTCCATCATCCATTACTTAGATTTCTTTTAGGCCATTCTGAAATAATTTGGGCAGACTTTTATGTTTGTTTAAGTGGAGCATGTTTGCATTGTTACTGGGAGTTCATTTAATTTTTACAAAGGGTAATTGAATTATTCTGAAGTTGAATGCATGGTTTATGCACAGCAATATATTAGCTTGTAAGTTGCCAATTGAGGGAGTCACTGAGAATAAAACGTTTCCTACATGCATCCTAAGTATTTTGGGAGCTTAAAATGTGAATTTTGATCACAGACATTCTTTGTAGACAGTAGACTTAATTGGTCGCACCTGACAGGTATACCTATATTCAAAGCCACTTAGTAGTAAATGCAAATCAAATCGAGTTTGGCCTAATTAAATTATCTGGGGGAGGTGAGTATGTGAAGTTGCTAATGTTGTTATTACAAATCACCTACACTAGGAGGTGCACACAAGTTATACTCTGTATTCTGTTTGGAGACCTTTCGGTGAACCATTGAGTAATGTCTAAAGCCTGCCAATGAAGAATCAGTAGACTTTAATATTCAGAAAGGCATGTTTCCTCTCAAAGTGTTACATATTTTCTGGAAACAAGCACTGTACTTTCTAATATTTTTCTCACTGCACAGATAGGATTATTTTAGATAATCATGTTGAATGTGCACCTCTTTTTTTTTTTTTTTTTGTGAATGGAGGAGGTAGTATTGGAAAAGGCAAAGAAAGTGGCAGACCTTAAAGTTCTTGTACATCTGTCCTTACTTACACCAGGATGTCACTGATATAACACTTTAAGATCTTCACTTTGCTAAAAATACGATAAGTGATCAACTTATACACATTGCTATTTTTCATAACATTATTGTTATTGTTATTTATTAGATATATATTTGATTATCCAAAAATTCTATTGACTTAGATTTCTTAACTTTCATGTCTCTTCTTTTTTTCTTTGTGCACTACTAAAGTAGATAATAATTAAGTATCTTAATACTAGAGAATGAGTCAAAAATAGAAATTTCAATTGGATAAAGTAGGAGGAATCTAACAGAGCAAGGAGAAGTAACTTACATGCATGTTGTCAATTATGGTGAAGACTCCCTGGGTAGTGGTATTAGGAAGCTTGCTTTATGTCTTGCCAATGACTGGCCAATCTTGTTAAGTACCATTTCTTGTGTCTCTGGGTTTCTGATGCCCCTCTGTGACAGTGGGAATGCTCAGGTTTAAGAGAGGACAAAACTAGAGGTGTCACTTAGTTAGGATGATTGATTTTCAAAAGGACCCGACCCTCTTCAAAATGGATCTCATGTCCTAGTTTAAATAATTTAGAACATTTGAAAGCAACAAATGGATTTATGTGTGTTTCAAAGGGGAAATGCTTTGATGAGTTTCAGGATTTAAATGAAGAAATCAAAACATCACAATACCTTTTGTTTTGATGGTTCACATTTGTGTTAATCACAGTATATGAACTTTTTTCTCACTGTTTAACTGGAACAATACACTCTATAGTTTCAATTTCTGTTATATATGGTGTTATATTTTCCTGTTTTAAGAAATTTAATGGCATTGTTATTTCCTTGGGGTCTTTCATCTAGTATAGATATCTCAGTATGAATGCACATTTATGGCATATCCATACAGTAAAATGAAATATTAAACCAAGATACGAAAGGATATTTTTGTCAGGTACATTATAGGTGAAGCATTTTAACAATGGATATTATTGATAAGAGCCAGTCAATCCTGACCTTGTTCACCTTAATTGATTATTTTTCACACAGATGATGGTTTCTTGATATTCCATGATGACTCTATCTAGCTAGCATGCCACATAAATATTCTTATTATATTCAATACTATAGTCTATTAAATTCATGGTTGTATGGATCAGACACTTTATCTTGACTTAAGATAAAACTTCTTTGGCCAATCTCATGGAAAGCATATGCCCTAGATTGTTGGTTTTGCATGATTCTGTAATAAGTAAAGTGTTGTAATAAGTAAAAATACAGTTTTACTTTTTAAATATGGACATGCTTTACCTATCAGATATGTATCTTCTCATCAACAGACTGTATTTACTAACAACTTTGGGATACATATTTATTCATCTTTTGCTCAAAAAATAGGCACTTAGCATTTGTGTAGATCCAGCAGAACAACAGTAGTCAATTTGATCTGGCCTCTAAAGCAGGTGTCATTTTGATAAATGGTACTAATTAAGCTGAGGTTTCAGGTACGAAGCCGATTGAGTTAGGTGTTGGCACCTGGATGGCCATGGCCAGACAAGTACAGATGTCGCAGCGAGGTAGAGGCAGCACTTTATTAACTTCCTTGAGTCTCCAGGTTTTGCATCTCCCATCATTTGATCACAGAATCTCGGTGCTGGGGCACCATGGCTGCAGCTTGCATTTATTCACAGGTTGTAGGAGGCCAAAGCACTTATGGAAATTTCAGCTCTTTCAGGTCATTTTTTCCCTCACTGATCCCTATCCTGCAGTGAGAGACAAGTGCATAAAAATGATTAATTAGACAAGAAGCCTCATTGTTTTCAATCCATGATTCATATTCCTCCTGCACAACAAGGGTTTAAACTGCAGGAAACAAAGCTCTTTTATGTCTTCTTACATTAATTTCATTATAGATTGTCTAGGTAAAGAGTGCAGGATTCTGTCACTGCTTTCTTCTTCATGATTAGAAAGACTTTTAGTGCAAAATGACATTAGGACATGACCTTCTCTTTTGAATTTCTGTCTTCTTGGTGATCTCACAGGATCAAATTAGGCCTTGGACAGTTCCACTATTGAGGACTCCAAAAGAGGATTTATGATTCCCCTTATTTTTTCTACTTACTCACTAAAAAAATTTGTTTTGATTAGGGAGAGGTACTTTGAGACGATATTTTAATAATCTTGGAGAACCAAATTCATTTTCTCAACTTTCTAACATGGAGGTTAGAAAAAAGTATCAAGGAAATATTTCAGGCTTTACAGGCCATATGGTCTCTGTCACAGCTATTTAGCTCTGCCGTTGTGATGTGAAAGCAGCCATCAACAATACATACATGACTAGGTACCGTGATGTTCCAGTAAAACGTTGTAACTACCAAAATTTGAAATCTCATGTAGTTTTCACATGTCAAGAACATTATTTTTCTTTATTTTTTTCAACCAATTAGAAATATAAAAACATAATTAACTTGTCGCTGTACAGATACAGACAGTGGGTCAGTGTTGGTCCATGGGCTGTGGTTTGCTTTTACCCTGCTCTAATGCATTTCATGAAACTCTGTGCAAGGTAATTAAGCATTATCCCTGCCTTCAGGGAACTTTTCATTCAGATGGGGAAAAGCATATCCATATTACAAGACAGAATGTAATTAAATGCTCACTCCAAATCTCAAACCACCCGAATTCTCTGACTAGTCCTGGAAGGAAGAAGAAGAACCAGGGAGAGATGGGATAATCAAGGAGTGTGGGTGTGAGGGGAGCAGGGTGGTGGGAGGAACCTGGAAAGGCTGAGGTCCTGAGGCACAGGCAGTCCTGGCAAGAACTGGCAGAAGATACTTTTCAAATTTAGAAAGTTTCAGATTATAATAAGGGAACCCAAAATTTAAATACTTCAAAATTTGGTTTTGTTCTTTTGTAGAGACATAAATAATGCAAAGGCAGTATTAAAAATATGCTCGATTTGTGAGCCCTATCTTGTGCTGAATGCTGTTCATTCAGTTATCACTTATAATGCCTTGCACAAGTTAAGAACTTGATGGCATGTTAGTCATGTCTGTTTACTGGTCTTAGGACAAACTGCTGTATAGCTGCTATAACAAAATATCATAGTCTAGGTGGCTTAAACAACAGACATTTATTTCTTATAGTTCTGGAGACAAGTAAGTCCAAGATCAAGGTGCTGACTGATTCAGTTCTCTTCCTGGCTTGCAGATGGCTACCTTGTCACTCTGTCAGGGTTTGTGGGGTAAAGGGAGGGAGAGAGAAAGCTCATAGGAATGTCAGACCTCCAGTATCTCTTCTTAGAAGGGCACTAGTCCAGAATGAGAGCCCATTGTCTTGGTCTCATCTAATTCTAATTACCTCCCAAAGCCCTACCTCTACCATCACATTCATTTTGTGGCCATACAGATACAGACAGTGGTAAAGAAGAGCTTCACCACATGACTTTGCCATATGACTAGGACACAAATAGTCTATATCAGAGGGGTATTGAGAATATAAATTATAGAACACAACTTTACCTTCTAGGGCATCAGTGTCTTAAGGGGAAACCTCACTTAAGCTTTAAGAAATAAAGTGATACATGCAGAAATAAGAGGATATATAATTAATTTGCTAGAGGAGCACTCTGCTTGGGCTGGTAGGGAAAGGGAAGGATTCATAGAAGGGGCAACATTTAGGCAGTGTCTCAAATGATGATAAAGAATTAACTGGGTAGAAGAGAAGAATATTCTCAATAGTGTGTATAGAGTTGGGAATGTATGTGTTATGTTTAAGAAAGGCAATTATGATAACCTGTGATTCAGGATTAGAAAGAATATGTTGGTTGGCAGGAAAAGTTCAAAGGAGTATCAGAACTTAGGATCTTGAAAGATATTTCATATGATAACTGAAGTATTTGAACGTTATCCTGTAGGTAAGGAGTTGTTGAAGGACCCTGAGCAGAGTAATGATATGACTAGATTGGACATTTAATCCAAAAATGGATTAGAGTAGGTATAAGGTTGTGGCAGGAAAATAAGTCAGGACCATGTGAGACTGAAAAGTAAAACAGATGGTGAGGCTAGGAATGGAGAAGGTAGCAGGAGGGGAAGACAGAGTCTAGAAAAACTTTTAAATTCTCGTTTGGACAGCTAGATAGATGATTTACTCATCAACCAGATGGGGTCACTGGATTGATTTCAGGGAATCACAAAATCAGTCTTTGGATATGTTGAATTTGAGGTTTGAAGTATGATTATCTGTACCCCTGCTCAAAGTATGTGAATAAAGATGCAGATTTGAGAGTCAACCAGCATAAAATTATAGTCAAAGTCTTTACAGCTAAGGAAGCTTGGGGTCAGGGAGTCATGTAAGAAGAGGAGGTCCAAGGATGGAACTTTGATGGCAAGTATCCAGAGATGCGTAGAGAAGCAGCCAAGAAGCTAGAGGGCTGGATGGGAATGGAGGAAGCAGAGGCATGCATGTAGGTGTTTTTTGAGAAAACTAGGTGAAATGAGGTGACAAGGTGGTGCTTGGTATGAAAGTCAAGGACAAGAGAAGCTTTGCGAAAGACAGGCAGTGTCAGAACTGGGGATGTAGCTTAATTGGTAGAGCAAATGCAAGGCACAGGATTCAATTCCCAGGTCCCCTAGCCCCCCCATGTAGACACAAAGATGGGCAGTGTCTGAACCTTTTCATTGGCTAAGATTATGGAGCCAATGAAGAGTAAAAGCAAATGATACAGAAGAAGAAGAAGTAGGTGATTTATACATGAGGGTCCTAAAGGAGTTAGGTCAGATGGGAGAACTCAAGATGAACAGAAAGAGATAATTGGGAAGATTTACAAATTTAGGACTGGAGCCAAGGAAACTGAGGGACCCCCAACCCAGATCTATGTCTTGTCTGTAAATGAGTGTAAGGCTGCATAGTCAGGATGAGATAGAAAAAGAGGTATGAAGAAGGATTGGAGAAAAGAGCAGTTAGGGTCATGGCAGGGTTTCTTGAACTTTACTGTGTTTATAGATCACTTAATGTTCTTGTGAACATGCAGCCCTTGATTCATTAGGTTGGAGATGTGTCTGAAAATTCTCAGTTTGTCACAACTTCCCAAGTCCTGAGTGACACCTATACCATAGGTCCATGCACCCAATTTCGAGTAGCAAGCAAGTAGGATACTTTCTAGTTTATACCCATTGTATGCACTCACTATTACTTCTAAGATCATGTGTTTATATGGAAGGTGGGGTTTGAAGAAGAGTGCTGATAAAATATATGTGAAAATTAGGGCATTTCAACACCACCGTGGCCTCTGGTCTGACCAGTCATAGGAGGCAAAAACTATTTTGCCTCTAAAGGTGAAAATAAAATGGCACTGACGTGAATGGTCACATGCTTAATTCTGGCAGTGCTGTTTGCAAACCTGTAAGAGAGATGAACATAGTGGTTGGACTGATGTGGGGTACAGCAGAGCAGATGAGCTGTGTTGATCTGTCCTGGATCTGGAAAGAGAGCATGTAGACTGGGAGGAGGTTCAGGTGTAAGAGAGAGAAACGGAATGTCAGGAGATTGTCTTCAGAGTGTGTATTCCAAGCATGACAGGAGAGGTAGCTTGATGTGTGACACTGCCCAACAATGGCTGTGAATGTGAATTGCGAAGGAATTGTTCAGATGAATGGCAGGATTTGAGGACCATTGAAAGACAGATGTGAAAGCCCTCATTGGATGTGAGAATGATCATAGAATCATGATAACAAGGAAGAGAGCTAGTTGGGGATAGTAGAGGCAGATGGCATGAACTTCCAAGATGTGTCAGGCAGGGGTGGGAAAGTAACAGCTTGGAAATGGCAGAGCAAATATTATACAGTAGTGTGTGTGTGTGTGAGAGAGAGAGAGAGATTCTTCAAACCTCACCTTTCATATAAATACATAATCTTAGAAGTAACAGTGAGGGCATACAATGAGTATAAACTAGAAAGTATCCTACTTGCTTGCCCCTCGAAATTGGGTGCATGGACCTATGGTATCGGTGTCACTCAGGACCTCAGGACTTGGGAGCTTGGACAAACTGAGAATTTTCAGTCACACCTCCAACCTAGTGAATTAAGAGAGGGGTGAGGGATAAGAAGTCTCATTAAAAGGGGCAAAAGGGGGCAGAGCCAGTTCTTAAAAAGACAGGATCTAGACAGGGCAATGGAGAATTCTTAGCATTCTGGACATGAGCTTGAGAAGATGTGGATAGAGTATTGGGCAAGAAGAGGAGTGGGTAGGGATGTTTCCAGAGAGCCCAGAGATAAAGGACTGGAAAAGCATTGGCTGTGGGAGGAATCAGGTGGATTCAGGAGGAAGGGAAGAGCAGTAAAAAGAGGAGAGCAGAAGAAAGGATTGCACCTAAAGATAATCATCTCTGCAGTAGTGTTCAACAATGACAGCAAGCAGCAATGGCAGAGGTGCTGTCGACTGGTTGTGAGGTTCTGACTGAGACTTGGGTAAGAAAGTTGTTTGGAAGGAAATTGGCCAACCTCTTCCAAGAGTTGAAGTGTTGAGGTGTGTGAGCCCAGGGCCTTTTGGACTGTACATGGACTTGGTCTACTAAAGAAGATGTCTGTTTATTTTGTACACACAAAACAAGAAACCATTACAGTTTCATTCCATGCTTTCCTGAGCATGTTAAGCATTCTTTTTGAATGACAATGCAAAAGAATCTGTTGCCTGATGGGTACATCTGTTTTCCCTTAATAAACCATTGACTTTTATTGAGAGAATGTGTTTTCCTCTAATTGTGGTGTGGATATGCTTCTTTTCCCTTAGAGTTGGAAAAAAAAAAGTTGAAGTAGAATTAAATTCTACTTCCTGCTGTAAGTGGGACCACAATCAGGCTAGTAAATGTAGAATTCCATTCAGGAAAAGGCCCCATTTTTTTCTTGAAACCATAGAACAAACCATATGCAAAGGGCTTGTCATGTCCACCAGAATGTGTAGGATTTTACAGTGTTCCAATATTGGTCCTTTGTTCTTTTTATTCCTTTAGTTTTGTGTGTAGCTATTACTGTTTTATTGAAAGCAGAAGCCAGTGGGAAATGTAATTTTGAACTTGACAAATATAAAACACTCATTTGATAATAAGGGGTTTGAAATACCTAAGAAATTACCATAGTTTGAAGAGCTGGAGCAAAATAAATCTGAAATGGAAAGAGATACAGAGATGAGGACTGAAAAAGATACCTAATAAATCAAAATAAAACCAGTTTTGTGGAAGAGAAAAAACACAGAAGGAAATTGGGAAAATAATAAAAGAGATAATGAAATATAATAGAAAAAGATGAAATGATAGCAATTTGTGTTAACCTGGAAGCTTTCATCCAGAAATTAAATTTGTTAGGCCCGGGGGATTTGGGGAGGTTGGGCAACAGGCTAATAACGGTGTGCTTCTAGGAGGTTAGCAATGGGGTCTGAGCCAGTCTGTATGTAAGAAATAAAAATTGTGAAGGAATTTACATTTGGTCCAAGAAGCCTGTAGGGGACTTTTCTGTAAAGAGTTAACTTGGTCAAAATAACAGCAGAGAAGATAATTTACATTCAGGATGCAGGAGCAGAAAGAAGTGGGAGAGAGAGATTTTAAAGGAAGTGTGTGGAATGAATGTTGTTACTGACTGTGTGTAGGATGGGACAGACAATGGCACATCATTGTAGCAGGTTCTGGAATGGATGTTGATGATGAACAAGACTCCCCCGTCCAGCTCTTTCATCTGTTAAAAATAAGTGAAGAATATTTGCAGATTTGGCAAGGTACAAGGGGATTCTTAGATGCTGCTGTACAAACTTCCTTTGAGGACAAGTGGATGATATATCACAAAAGCTGTAAAAACACTTATTTTCTATGACTAAAACCCCCATGCCAGGAGATTTTTTTGTAAATAATAATTATTAGAGATGTCTTTAAAGACATGTGGCTTGAGGTGTTCGTTATGGTATTATTTATACTTTGGAAACAACCTAGATGTACAACAATAGTAAGTTGCTTAAATATCTCTCTGCTGATTTAGCCAATGTGAGGTGATGAATTTATTAAGGTCACATTATAGAAGAATATTTAATGTCATTAGAAAATCTTTATGAAATATCTTTAGGTGGAAAAGAAACAATTCCCTGAGTAGTTTGTTCAATAGTAGAAGAAATGTGTGTCTGAATACGTGGCTGGATATTGGGTATTTCATCATCACATATAGTTAGTAGCAGAGGAATGGAAGATAGGGGTATCTGGGACCAGGCCTTTGGGAAGGTCTGTGGTTTGAGAAGACAGAAAACCAGGATTTGCACTCTGTAGAGTAGGCAGTGGCTACCTGATGTTTCCTTCTGGACTTCTCCACAGCCCCCCCCCAGGCAGAAACTGCTCTTTGTCATAGCCTGAATACCTGAGTACCTTGGGTACCCCAGAACAAGCTACTTTGGGTCCAAACAGAATGATCAGAGGAAGCCCTGTCCTGGTTCCAGCAGAAATATAGTGAGAACATCCCTGGAAAATGAATTTCTGTTTCTATCCAAAAGGCCAATAACATTTCAGTGAAATGTAAAACAAACAAACAAAAAAACAAACAAGTAAATAAATGGAGGTGGGGGGATGAATTGTTTTCCCCCTTCATTCTCTATCACTTTTTAATGCTCCCTGTCTCCTTCATCAAAAGCCCTCGGGTTTTACACTAAATAGACAAACCATCTTCACCTTCACATCCTTGTCATCTACTGATCTCTTCGTCATCCCTATTCAATCATTAAAGATTTGGTACCTGATTCATGATCCTATTCCTGTCCGTAAACCTATCACTATTTAGTGACCTAGACACATTCACTCACCCCACCCCACCCCTACCTTGCCAATACCTTCTCCCCTGCTACCTGTAGAATGTTCTTCCACAGCCTCCATTGTCTTCTTCACTTTCTGACCTAACCAGCTTAGATTAGACGTTTTCTCCTGTAGTAACTCCCTTGAAAAAGCCCTTGGCCCTTTTTACCTTTCTTCCTCCATCATTTATTTCTAGAAAAACAGATATTATGACTCTTTCACTCACTGTCTCCATGCAGGCACCAAGCTGCTGAATATTCCTAGAGACAAAACACTCTAGAAGGCTGCAGAGGTTTAATTGTAAGTTTGTGATCACAAACCTCCAATAGCCTGGTGGTGCAAAACTCCTATCTTACTATCCTGATTCAGTAGGTTCACTTTATCACTTCCTGATATGTTGTCCTCTCAAGTCTTTGTGGATCTTTTCCTCCCACTTCTCCATCAGCTGGTGACCTTGCCTTTTAGGATGGCAGAAGGTGTCCAAAAGACAATTATTTGTTTTCTCATAACCAAGTCTGTAAACCCACCTGCATTGTTCTTTTTATTACAGTAGGAGAAACATCCCTTCTCCCCACTTCTCCTTGTCCTCTTCCTCCTCCTCTGTATAAAAACAAACCTAAAATTCTTAAACTCATATTTCTCTCCAATATCTGCTTTATTCCTGTTTTCTTAATAATCACCCTCTTTAAAATATTGTCTACACACACTCTGATGCTTCACTTCTAGTTTTGTTTTTAACCTCAACACCCAGTTGAAACTGTTCTTTTCAAGGTCACCGTGACCTTCATGTGGCCTAATTCAGGGACACTGAATTTGTACTTTTTTTCTCAGACTTAACTCAACACTAGATCTAGTTGACTACTCCCTTATTTTTTATTTTTACTTATAATCTTATGTATTTAATGTTTTTATGCATAGGAAGAGTTAAAAGAAAATTTAACAAACTGTTCTCTAGCAGGAGTTATGAGAAGGCTTCCAGCATTTAACCTTTCTGAATTGCTTATATTACATTTTCAATCAGTAAAAATTATTATTTTTTTTTAAAAAGGCATTATGAGAGCAGCTTCTGCTTTCTTGAAACACGTTCAACTTGGCTTCTTTAACCCCAGACCCTCCTGGTTTTCTTTGCATCTCACTTGATTATTTTTCACAACTCTGCCTTGAGGTGTTGGTGTTCCTAACAGCTAAAGTAGGCCCTTTTTATCCACCTTCAACTGTCTAAAGGCTCATCAAGCTGAACATGTCTAGAATGGAATGTTTCTCCATCCTTCTTCCCACCTGTTCCTCTTTGTGTTCTTTCTTAGTAAGGACGAGTGCCACCTACCCAGATGCTGAAGAAAGGACACTGGGGCTCATTTGTAATTGGTCCCTTTTATAAGATCTACTTTGTCACTAAAATCTAAAGCTCTCACCTGCTCTGTCTCCAGGCTTCCTGCTGCTGTCCATTTTTATCATCAACATCCTAAGCCAGGCTACATCACCTTTACGTGGACTGCTACAACAGCTTCCTAACTCTCTCAGAACCCAGTATTCCCACTTGTCCTACATTTGTGGACCAAAAAACCGTTTTTTTTCTAAAAGTCAAATTCAATTTCTTCTCTTGGGTGAACTTTGAGCTCCTAATGATGGCCTCTGAGGCTTTTTTATCTATTATTCTAGCCTTATTCTGTGCCTCTATTCCTTTTGCTATTGCAATCTCATTCTTTTGGGCTCATATTAAATGAAATTAAACCAGAGAAGCTTTCTTTAACCTCTTTATACAAGTAGGTCTCCACTGTTATTCTCCAGTACAGCACCCTTGTAGTTTTCTCTAAGACACTTATGACTTGGATTTATGCATATGACTGGAAGGCCCCCCGAAGTCAAGGCTGTTTTCTCTCCTCTGATCATGTTTTACCACCTACCTGGCACAGTGCTTGTGCATAATACATAATAATCTTTCAGTAGGTATTTGTGGAACAAATGAATAGATGAATATTTGCCAAGTATTGATGCTATTTGGTGCCAATGTGAGGAGAAAGAGAAAATGATCCAGGCTGTAAGATGATTACCATGTGGCTGGGTGACACAGGATAAATGTTGAGGGTTGGCAGCACCATATAGGGAAGTGAAAAATACAACAGCAATATTCAGACCTTGAAAAATGACTAAATGATGATATCTTTGTGAGGATGGGAAAATAGAGCAGTGGAAGGGATTGAGGAAGGAATACTGGGAGTTCAGTATTCTATGTCTTTTATGGGGACCTTTATCCTTACAGAATATCTTCAGGCAACCTCACACAAAAATAGAATTCATGAAACTGCTCAGCAAAGAATACAGAAAAGAAACTACAAAGACATTAAAGTCGAAAAAGTTTATGCAACTCAGTATCTATGAACATGCTAGTGAGTACTGAATACATACCATGCTAGTGGTTGATATGCAAATCAGTTATTTACTTGAATGATGCTTATTGATTATCAAAGGATTCCCTTGATGATTGTTGTACATCTTAGATTGTTAATATGAAAGAAATCTCTTCATCTGGCTACATAAATGAAATCGATCATTTAGTAGCAGTTGGCTTATCACATTGCACTACTTTACATGAAAGATGGTCTCCATAAAAGCAGTTGTAATGGGTGGTTTAATAAGGAAAACACTGTTAGAGAATACAATTTAACTGTTCTTAGCAAATACAATGCTTTTTGCAATGCACTCATTTGTTTTATTAAAGCTAATTATACATTTGTTTTTGCTAATTTTTACTGTACAAAAGAAACTTGGAATACTTAATAGTCAATTACTGTGAGGGTAAAAATAATGAATGTTATCACACAAAGAGTTGATATATAAGAGGCAAGCCAAACATGAATATAGTATATGGAAATTTGTCAGAAATTAATAACTTCTATTTTAAGCCTCTTTAGAGCATTTGAAAAAGGAAAACCTTTAAATCAATTAGATTCCTACTTTGGTCCGTGTAGATGGCTGACACGATTCAATCTAAATAGAACGCTAGTAAAAGCTACAATCAGCGTCCTCTCAAAAGAGCTGACTTTTTCCTGAACAACACCTGAACACAATTGACAAGCAAACTCTCTGTGCTCAGATCTTCATCTTTAGTCATTTTGGAATATTTGATCTTTTAGTAGTCATTGGGAAGGGACTCTGAACTTGCCTTCAAGTGATAATGAGAATGATATCTTTCAAGCAAGTGGGATCAGAGAAGGCTGAATACGCTGATAATAAAATCTGGCTTGTGAAATAATAAGAAAATATTTTTACTCACTAACTATTCAACCTGAACCATTATTCAGGTTTAGTACTTGGTATAAAAAAATAAGATAAGTCTGGTCCTGGCATAAAGTTGAAAATCTCAAAGTGACATACATGAAACATTAAAGGTTACTCCCATGACATGATGTGTACTATGACAGAAAGATTAAGGACACTATAGTTTGGGGGTGTAGGAGAAAGGGACAGGCTAACCAAAGGGTACAAAGTTTTGGTTCGACAGGAGGAATAAGCCTTAGCGATCTGGAGCACACAATGGTGACCATGATAAATAATAATGCATTTTTACTGCACGCTGCTGTCATATATAACAAATTAGAATAAATAAATAAATTTAATTAAAAAAACACAGGAACATTCCTCTGTTGTGTTCTAGCCTAACATAGGGGTCATGGAAGGCTTTCTGGAGGAAATAATAGTTCAACTAAGCCTTTAATTTAAATAGGAGTTAATTATGCAAGGAGATAGAGAAAGGAGTATGTTTGTGTGTCCTGGAGCCTTTGGAAAAAGTAAAGGTCTGCAGGATATCTAGAGCTTGGAATGTTAAGAAGAGGGGCAGAGATAAGCACTGATCTGCACTAGGAAGCAGCTGCAGGTTCAGGGAGGGTCAGGCCTGCTCAATATTTATTTTGGTTGTTCTGTGGCGGGAGCTGGGAAGGAAGCACCCCCAGGCAGGCCCACGTGGGGACATGTCAGGATGCCTTTGAGGCACTTTAGCAAGGCACTGTGGTAACTTTTTCTTGGGCAAGAGCAGGGGCAGGGGATCGAGAATCTGAAGTCAGGGAGTTTTATGAGTTAGAATAACCAATAGGTGTACAAGTAGGTGATTCTGAATCCCAGGACAGTAGATTGGTCTTTTCTGTGGACCAACAGATGTCACAAAAGAAGGCAGGCCTGCATCCTATTCCACTTACCACAAACATAGTGCCTTCCTGGGCCCCACAGAAGTAATAGCAATGATGCCAAGAAATTGAATGGCCAAAACGAGAGGGCAATAAATCCTTCTGCAACTCAGGTACTTTCTGTTTTTCTTTTGTTTTCCATTAAACAAAAGGGATGCTTAATAGAACTGTCAGATGTTAGATCATTAAAAATATTTTTTTGATGCTAGATCAGTATTTGCTTTCTGGCACATAACTCAGGATTTTAAAAAAATTGAATGACATTGCTAAAATAAAACTTGTTCCATTTCTATCTATTTATTTATATAAAAAGCTTTCTAAGCCCTTACATAAAAAATGAAAAATAGGAATAAACTTGATGTAAAACATCATCTCATTCTTTCATTGTTATATTCTCCATGGACCTATGAAATAATTGAAAAACAAATTCAAAAGCATTTTAATTAAGTTTCATCTAAATTCTGGCTTATATAATTAATATATAGTTGTCAAAATATAAAAAGTTACATTGTGTTCATCAATTGTATTTAATGAGAACTCAATTCTGGAGAAAAATGTTATCACCTAAAACCTTATGGTCCCAGGAGATTAAATATATTAAATTTACCAACTTTTTTTAGAAAGATGTATGATGAGGTGATCAATAAAAGACTTTCAAGCATAGAATATATTGAGTTTAAATTTTGTTGAAGAAGTAAAACAGAATTATGAGCTCAAAGAGAATGATGCAAAATTTCCTAGTGTTAAAGAAATGCTTATTCATGTGTTTTTTAACTGGATGAAGAGAGAAATGGAATCACTGGTGATTTCACATATTTTAAACATTGGACATGTTTAAAAAGAATGAAGTAACTGTGATATTTTTAAATTATGAAATTTCCCAAATGGAGGAAATTGCATTCTTTGCCAGTAAGATCCTATATGGAGTTGTATGGTAATTTTTTGATATTGACTTAAAATGTGAGGCTACTGGTTTAGGGAAGGAAAGTGGGGTTAAAAAAAGAAAGAAAAGTGCATAGTTTAGATTCCTAAGAGCATCATAGTTAAGGGTTGGTTGTTCTTCTCCACCGTGTAACAAGAGAAGGAAGCCAGGAAAGGATGACTTGTTGTAATTTTGCAGGTTGTCTTGATGGGATTGGAGATTAGACTGTTTTGGAGGCATAAAGGGTGGGGAAAGACTTCTAAAGAGAGCCCAAGGCTGGAGCACAGGAGCAACCTCTGATAGCAGAAATACCAGTCTTCAGGGTGGCTGACAGTGACCTGAGAGTGATAGCAATCTGGTTGGTATGTGATAGTCTTGAAGCATGTATTGGTAAGAAATTCTTAAAATGAATGGATAAATGCAGACATTAAGAAAAATACTAGAATTTGAATAATATTAAGGGGCCATGAAAATCACTGAGGCAGAGATGATAAATCATGTACCCAATTGGGGATGGCAGATAGAACTTCAACTTCTCACTTTCCTGCTGGGTTTTATAAGGTTACCTTGTGCTTCTCTGTATTATGTCTTACACAGAATTTTCTTATGAAGAACATTGGAAATGAGGTGAGATGTTTGGAAAAGTGTGTGCCCCTCTGCAGGACCCTAACACCTGGCTTCACCCAAACCACCCAACCCACCTTGCTACATTTCCAGACCAGTCTCCTCTTTGACCCTAGAATCAGCATTTCATCTCCTGGCTGGAGCACCTCCATCTCCTAACTTGACTTGGCATCCTCTGGATCCTTGAAAACCTATCCTCTTTCTCCCTGATTTTCCAAACTCCACTTGTACTTATACTCTATACCAGCACTGTTCAGGAAAAAATAGAATGTAAACCACACATGAGTCACATGGGATTTTATTTTGTTACTTATTTGTTTTATTGTGATAAGAAGCATTTAACAGGAGACCTACCCTGGTATATAGTTTTTAAATGCATAATACAGTACTGATAGCTGTAGACACAATATTTTATAGCAGATCTCTAGAACCCAGTCCTCTTCCATAATTAAACCTTTTGCTGATAAACAGTAATTCCCCATCTCCCTCTCAACAGCCCTTGGCAATCACAATTCTAGTCTCTTGAGACTCTTTCAGATGCCCCCTGTAGGTGGAATCATGCAGTATTTGTCCTTCTGTGACTGGCTTTTTTCACTTAGCAAATATCCTTTAGTTTCATCTACATTATTGCACATGGCAAGCCTTGTTTTTTTAAGGCTATAATAGATGAAAAGTGCTGTGACAATGTGGATAAATTGGAATCCTGTACCTTCCTGTGTGACTGCAAAATGATGTACCCACCATAGAAAATAGTGTGGTGATTCCTCAGAAAATTAAAAAATAGAATTAAGTTATAATCCAGCTTCTGAGTATATATCCAAAAGAATTGAAGCCAGGATCTTGAAGAGACATCTGCACTCCCATGTTTATTGCAGTATTATTCACAATAGCTAAGACATGGAATCAACTTTAGTGTCCAGAAACAGATGAATGGTAAAGAAAATGCGGCACCTACCTAATGCACTGTAATTTTAATTTTCTAGTAGACAAACTTCCAAGAGTAAAATGAAACAGTAGCTGGTAGTTAATGCACTGTATAGTGTGAATCTATATGGCAAATGTCAGTGCTAAATTCTATTTTTATTTACTTGTTTCTTGAGTAGTTTTCTCGGTTTTCTTGGCAGACTGTATTCTACTTCGGGGCAGGAATCATGTTTTAAACTTCTTTAATATTCTTAGGGTGTTTAGCATAATGCTCAGCTTTAGTAAGAAGCTTGATGGACCACATTTGTTGATTATTTTAACTAGTAAAACTTTTTGTTAAGCCACCTTGATAATCTGGCTCTGTTGACTGGCCCTTTGGGAATGGGATTGCTCTTTTTGGAACAACAAAGCTGTCACGGTTTTCAATAATTGACAAGGCTGCTAATAGCTGCTGCTTGTGTAATTAGACAGTCATTTAAATTTGTGCGCATCCTGGGGGTGGGACTGTTGTGTCTTCTGCTCCTTCTAGTCACAACAGCTTTTATTTTAAGTATGAACATCTTTACGTACAAATTAATAGTTCTTTGAAAGGTACTAAATGCTCTTTAAGAAAATTATGAATTTAAATTTGCCCTGGGGTGCTTATCAAGTTGGTTAATGTTATCACACTTACATCTGACTTACTGAGAACCTTGGTTGGAGACAAATTGGCTAAGCTGTCCCAACTTGTCCCTTAGAAACTTCTTGTTTTTTTTTTTTCCAAAGGCTATGAAGAGGGTTTGCCCGGATTCTGGAAGTGTTATTGTCTCTTCTGATAGGCTTTATGCAGAGAGATGTGGCCTTCAGTATAAACAAACTGACAAAAGGCCCCTTGAGAATCTTAATTTGTTCAAATTAAAAAGAATGTGGAAAGATAAGAAAGCTGTTTAAAAGCTGGCCTCCACTTTAGTACAAGTCCTTTAACCGTTCCTTTGGGGAAATTACATCACCCTTACATGGCGGTTTAATGAAAAAAAAAAAAAACAGTCATTATTCAGAGCAGGGATTTCTCTCCATCTTTTAGCCTCCATCATGAATGCAATGGCGTGAATTCAACAGTGCAAATTCTTGAACTGCAGTGCAGCTATGTGAGATTAGAAAACCTCTCAGGTGTGCTGAAAAGGAAGCCGGTTTGACTTTATGCTAAAACAAACCTATCACATCAAAACCAGTTTTGTAGTAAAAAGCCTTGGTCACAATTATACACTGGAGGTCTTTTTCGTGAAAGGGAGAACTTTTTTTTTTTCCCCTGTAATTGTGACCACTATACTAAAGCAATCAGGAAGGTATGTTAATTTACTTCTAACTGATGGAACTGATTTCCTAAAAGCTTTAAAGGAATGGGAGATGTTAGTGTGATGAATTGGAGATGCTTAATCCCATCACAATACAAAGCAAATTGAATTCTTATGCATTCCATCTATTTTGGTATTAATCAACTAAGGAAAAGAAAAACACCAGTGAAAAGAAAATACAACAATAACAACAACATCAACAACATCTGTGTTCCTCACCTACTTCTAGGTAATTCACAGTTGGGAAGAGGTTTATACAAGCTAGCTTTAAACTTTTACCAGAAGTAATAGAATTGAAATATGATGCCTCTGGTGTTAATTATTGAGGTGTATTCTGCCAGGGATTGGAATCTATGGGTGGCCTATAACAGAACTCTGCCAAATATGATCTATTCTGTATACAGATAATGAACTGTTGTCAGTTTCCCTCAAGGGAAATTTGAATATATTGTATTCTCCCTCTAAGGTAGGTATAACTATGTTTGAAAATAAAATTGTTGTTGCTGCTAATACCTATTAACTTTAAATGTTACTCACACGTCTGTGCTTGGAAGTCACAGCATGTACTGAACATTAATTTTAATCACTTTCTATAGCAGTGAAATTTTGCTTCATAACCCACTTGGAAAAATGAGAGCAGCAACTGAGGGGCTAATTCCGTGTTATTACTAAATCATCCCAGATGATTGAAATCAAGTTCCCAAGGCTGATTTGGAATTGACACACATGACAAGGAGGTTAATCTTGGATCTCTTTAGATTTTTTCCTTGCAGTGATCACATGGAGTTTGGATCCTACAACTTAGGATTTAGAGAATTGAATCAGAGAAGTATGGAAGGGGTATTGCATTAGGACCATCATCTTAAGGTCTCCAATTGATATAACTTAATTTTTTTTTTCCATTTCAATTCTTTTGACAACTCAAGGTCATAGCTCTGAATTCAGTTTCCCTAGTTAATTCATGGTTTCCACATCCTCACTGGTTCCATCAAATTTTCAGAGAATTTACAGATGTCAAGACATGAAGATACACTCAAGTTCTTCTCTGGTCCCTGTTGGTTGGTCCCTATAGATTGCTGCCAACCGATTTGTGATCTGATGATAAGGTCACCCTTGGAGCCACTTCTTCAGCCATCAGGTTCTCTCTTGAATTTAATTGCTTGTCATCACCTGGCAGGGTTGGGAAATGGGCTGGGCAACAGCATATATTTTTCCAAATAAGTCAATTGATTACGCCTGTTTTAGATGCAAAAGTCAAGAATCGCCTCTTTTGTTCTTCTCTGAACAGAAATCCCCACATACCTATGTGTGTCCTAGATTGAAAGAAGGTGATAATTGTAGGGAAATATCCTGGATTATTAGGGAATATAGAGGGGAAAAAACTCAGCATTGGTTAACATTTGAAATTATTATTTTCTGAAGGTACAAGCAAACTGAATCGACTTTTGGAAATGTAAAAAAGAATAGGGTTAGTCTTAGTAAAAGAAAACTATCTAAAATAATAATGAAACATATATTTTTAATATATATATATTATATAATATATATATATATATATTTTAGAATATATATTTTCCTCTTCTAGATAAGAACCACATCTGTAAAGATCATCTAGCCTAAGCATTTAACAGTTAAGAAACAGAGACCCACAACTAGCATGAAGTCACACAGCACATGAAACCAGGTCCCCTGACTCAAAGCTCTTTGCTTATCCACCCCCTCCCCAAATTGCTTTGCAATGGAAGAAGATTAGGACAAACTTCTGATGCTAATAGGTGGAAACATTGAGAAACATTATCAAGAACATTTGCAATGGTTATTGGAAAAAAATGGTTGGGCAGCTAGCTTTTCACCCCGGCCCAGGGCAGTCTGTGGAGTCAGCGCTGATTGAAGCTGATTTCTTTACCCTCACTTTTAGATTACATGATTTTTAAGGAAGATACTTCAAAAGGGTTTACAAATATAGACTTGACTGAATAATTTACCAGAGAAACTGCCCCTCTAGCTTCCCTAAATTCCAGAAATACATTGTGTTTGTTTCCTTTTTTGGTGAATGTAGAGGGAACATCAATCTGCCCTTTCAAGGAAATGTAAGGATTTTTCAAGATGTTTAAAAACAAAAGAGTAAAGTTGTCTTTGGATCCCTTGAGAAGATTGGACTGCCTAGGACTTCAGCTTCTTCCTTGCAATAGAATGGATTTCCATGGGGAGAGGATTCAGAACTTTATGGGCCAGAGAGCGTAAAAGATGTCACAGGCTTCAAAAATGATTTTTTTGTGGAACTATTTCTTGAGAATGGTAATTGATTTTACTTAGTGTCTGCCAAAAACAACCTGGAGGAAAAAAGGACAAAGTATTCACGGTTTTCTGAGGATGGATAGAGATTTAGATGGATATTAGAGAGACTACTTTGTATTTCATGACTGCTTGGCTGAGAGAGTGAGAATGATGTTTTGGGAAGTCCATAGGACATTTCTTCTTCCTCTGATAATATTCAAAATGTGGACTTTGATGCAAAATCTCCAGAAAGACTTTTCTCTCTCCTACTCTCCTATACTTCTGGTCCTTGGGTCCTTCTCTTTTGGTGACAGTGTCTATTTAACAGGATTATTTGGTAGGAAAACACACCTGCCAAGATGCAGCCTCGTCCTCCTTCCTCCTTCCCTCTCCCTTTCTCCCTCTCAGCTATTTTCCTTCCTTTTTGCTGCAAATGACTTCAAACTGGCAAAATCAACATGATGGTATAACAGAGCTCATATTTTTAATGTGGCTCTTTTTGTGTGAATCTGGAAGTTTAATGTACACACTGTATACTACAGTTTCATCCTTCAGTATCTAAGTTTTGTATAATCTTAAGGTTAGTTCTATAAGGAGTCAATTGTATTTTTGATATACCTTCCAGCTGACTTCTTAGTCATAAATTGATTCTGTAACTGTAATCCATTAGACACAGAATCCAGAGTTAATCCAGAATTAATATAACAGAATATTTAAAATTATCATCCAATTCCCTATTGTCTATTTTCCTTCTAAAGTAGATGTATGTAAACTCTCATTATTCAAATACTTGTCCTGAGGATCTTTAGACACCTTAACCCTAAACTCACTGTTTGGATCAAAATCTTACCCTTGTCAATGTACACTTGTACATCACCAAAACCTTTTTTTGTGGTTAGTTTAGGCAAGAGGACATAGTGTGAACAGGCTGCAGTATTGAATCCTTTTTTCAGGTTTTTAAAATGTGTTTGTATGATCCCAATGATCTTTCCCATCCTTGAATGGGGGAAAGCTTTGCTTTTAAAATCTCTAACATATTGTGCCATTTCTTATTTGTATGTTCCTTGTGTATCTAAAAGGAGAGTAACTTCCTATCTGATACTGTAAGGAAGGATTCTTTGTGTACTACATATACTCGTACCCTAGAAACACTTGATTGTGTGTTAAATAATTAGGTAATTGGTATTTCTAATGATTTAATTTATATCAGTCAGAAGCCCCGGCTGGATTTAGATTGTTATATAGGTGTTTACAAGTGTTTTATTGATATTTGGGGAAATTGCATGGGTGTTTGGATGGGTTGGGAACATATTAACTTTCCCAATTAAAATAATAGATGATAGGCTCCTACCACCTGGAAATTGCTATGCAATATATTTTCAGAAAAAAAAAAATGAATTCAGATGAGGTATGCCTGTGTTTCTGTTCTGAGCACATACATGTACAATTGTATAGTAGCCCATGGTGGTAAAGTTATGCAATCTTTTGCATGACAAATATTCACGTCTGCCACATTGTATAATTGATGTGTCTGCCTGTTAAAATCACTCAATAGGTTTTTAACCTTTCGTGAATTTCTTGACAGTTCTCTCCATTGCTGACTGTATTTTCTTCTCCTGCTTTCGGAATGGTCATTGTCCTCTAGTCTTGTCTTTTCTCTCTTCCCCAAAGATGACTTATATTCTCATTCCTCTGCCATCAATCTCTGCAGAGAGAGAGCTGAACTCTATTTTGAACCCTGTTTCCTTTCTCCTTTTCCTGTCCCCTACTTTGAACTAGTTGCTTTTCTGCATACCACTTCAAACACAACACAGCAAGGAGGAAATACCTTGTCTTAACAATGGGCTCCAGAAATCTTTCTCAGGAGGTAGTGGGATAACAGTGCTTAGGGGTGCGTCCTGCTGTGTGCTACTGCAGGGAGGCCCCTAGAGAAAAGACTGAAAAAGGAAGCTTAATCAGCCCTGTGCATAATGGGCAGAGATTTAAAGTTGGAAGGAAATAGTGAGAAGGAGAGGGAAGATAGAGAAGTGACTAGAAAACTTAAGGAGAAGTAGAAACCGCATTGGTAGAAAAAGCCAAGGACTTTGTAAGGTCAAGGTGATTTGATGGTCAGGTTTAGGTTGCTTATATTCTTTGCATAGGAATGCCTTGTCTCCTCAGTAAAATCTGCTACATACACAACAGCTTGCTGGGGTGGATTTTTTTTTTTTTTTTTTTTTTTTTAATGTCAAGATGTAGATATGAGGGCAGCATTAAGTCACAGTAGCTCAGAGGCATAAACAACCCAAATGTCCATTGATGGATGAAAATATAAACAAAATGTGGTATAAATACAGAATGGAGCATTATTCAGCCTTAAAATAAGTGAAATTCTGATACATGTGCCAACATGATAAACATTATGCTATGAAATAAGCCAGATACAAAAATTATACATTTTGTATGTTTTCACTTATGTGAGGCATCTAAAGTGGTTAAATTTATAATGAGGAAAAGAAGATTACAGTTCATGTTTGATGGGTACAGAGTTTCAGTTTGAAGAAATCCAGGGATAGTTGCACAACAAAGTGAGCATCTGCCAATAGAATTGTACACTTAAAAATGGCTAAACTGGAAAATTCTAGATGATGAGATAGGGAAAGAGGTTGTAGGCCGTGTCCGGGTTCCTATTGTTTGTGTAGGGTGAAAAGATGATTCAGGAACTGAATCACTTCAGCAGAGGTGGGTTTTAGAGCAGAGAGGTAGACCCTTGCAGTGGGTTGAATGGTGTCCCCCAAAGATGGCTATGCTCCAGCTGCCAGAAACGGAGAATGGGACCTTACTGGGGAACAGATCTTTATAGATGTCATTAAGAATTTCGAGATGAGCTCACCCAGGATTTCTCCATGGGCCCAATAGCCAGTGACAAGCTTCTCATAGGAGACAGAAGACAGAGTAGCAGGCCATGTGAAGAAACACTCAGAGACAGAAGTGATGTGAAGGAATTTCCTGGGGTCAATAGAAGCCAGGGGAGACCAGCAAGCATTCCCTTTCTTTGGGTCTTCAGAGGAGCACAGTCCTGTTGGCTCCTGGATCTGAACTTCCAGCCTCCAGAAATGTAAGGGAATATGTTTATGTTTTAAGCCACTGAATTTATGGAAATATGTTAGAGAAGCCCTAGAAAACAAATATATCTCCCGAATATTCCCTGCTCTGGAAAATCTGACTAAATTTGTGCCAGATGTAGCAGTTCCTGAGTGCACAGAGGATGGGCTTCCTGCTAATTTCATCAATATCTTAGGCATCTCAGCCAGCTTTTAGATTAAAAAAAAAAAATAGACTCCCACCCTTATTAGGTCTGATACGTGTGCCACAAAAACCAAAGAAGTTGGATATACTGGCTCCATGGCAATGTTTGTGAGAGTGTGGTTCAGCTGTACCAGGATCTCTTCTGTTAGTTTTTAAAATGTAGTCTCCTGGCATCTGGCCAAGACCCAGTGAGCCAGAAACTCTAGGGAGAGTCGCTAGGAATGTGCATTTTCATCACCTTTCAGTAATTCTTATGCATATTAGATTTTGAGAACCACTACTCTAAGAGGTAGCATGATTTACCTCATGGATGTTAGCAGGCAAAAGACATAACAAATGACTTTCTACCAAAAACTAACTGCCTTTTTCTCATGTCATTTTTTCAAACCATTTTATTGAGGTACAATGGATACATAAAAACTTGTACATATTTAATAGACACTAGGATGAATTTGGGGAGAAACGTATGTGTGGGACCCCATCAGGGTTGTAAACATGTCTGTCCCCTCCCAAAGTTTCATCTTGCCCTTTTAGTTCCTGCTAAAAACACTTAATGTAAGATCTACCATCTTAGCATTTTTAGGTATATAAGACAGTATGGTTAGCTCTGGGTACTGTGTATATAATAGATCTCTAGAATTTATTTATCTTTCATAATTAAAACATTGCATCTTTTAACTACCACTTCCCCATCACCCCCTTTTTACCTGTACATGATACCTTCTAGGTCCTTTCCTGTTGTTGCAAATGGCAAGATTTCCTTCTTTTTAAAAACAGAATAACATTCCATTATATGTTGTGTTAGTTAGTTCTTTGTGACTATGACAAAAATATCTGACATAAACAATTTGAAGGATGAAAGATTACTTTGTCTCATGGTTTTCATAGGCTCAT